GAATATATGAATATAGAGGTGGTCTGGGCTGGCAGTGTATCCTTGATTTCTCCGTATAAGCAGGAGTAGTCGAGAACAGTGCATAAGGGTTGGCTGCTGGGAAGGTAGTTGCTACAGATTGACTCAGGTACGAGAACACATTCCAGGATGCTAAGGAAATGGCCAAATAAAGGGTGTAAACAGCTCCATTCTAGCGCATCTGGAAGACTCAGACCATCGCGTGAACGCCAGAGGCTTTTCGAATGATCTACAAGGTACCCTCAAGCTGTTCAAAATTTATTGGACAGCGTCTGTTGGCTACGCCATCAGGCTACGCCGCCCGGTCCTGTGCGCCGAAAATAACTTCGTCGGGGCGCCGTAGTTACCATGGTTAAAAATGGTTAAGCCAACAGGCAGCAGCTTTTCACCTCTGCCGACTACTAATTCCCCCTAACGCTGCTCAGATTTGACCTTGTGCCCATACCCTTCCTCCTGCCCTGACAATCGTTCTTTCTTATACTAATCCGCATAGTTTATTTACTTAATTACCATATAAACTTCAAGGCCTGATGAAAATTATCGAAAACAAAAGCATGTTCGCCATTTCATTTTCTGAAATTTTCAATGGGTATTTTTGCTTATCAAAAATATATTTTACCGCAAATGTTACGGTAATTGCTAAGAGCTTTGCAAATCATGAAAAAATGCATTGTGTGATACTTGAAGACAACCGCAAAACCACGCATTTCAAAACAACTCACTACAGGGACTAAGATAGCTGGACCTTATGCTGCAGGACATAATTTTCTGATGGACAAAAACGTTATCTTAGCGCTTTGTTTAACATTGTATATGTAAGACACTTACTGTATAATTACTCAATTGATTGTAAACCTATTACAAGGGAATAATGTAAATCCTAAATAATTCATTTTCTACTTGTAAGTTTTGATTCAGGGTGTTTTTTATTTCAGAGTAACTCCCAAGATATTATCTTACTTTTCTGTGAACATGGTGCAATAACCGCTGCATGTGGGAACATGTTTTCAATCCTAGTAGGATGACTGAACTGTTTCTGATTGTGTTTATTTTAAAAATACTGTAAAAATGGGATTTTAGGTGGGAGGGTGGGGTGGAAGATGGTTGTACAGATGGTTAAGCAGAAAATATGTTCGTCATTCTGTACTGGGCGAGTTCATTAATAGTCCACAGGTGAAACGTCAACACCAGTGTGTAGCCAGAATAGCCTCTCTCAGTGTTCACACGATCAGTGGCAGTTATCTATCTCTCTCGCTCGCCTACTAACAGGCCCCATCTGCTTCTAACTGTCCGCTTTCAGCCGACAGCTGGCAAAATCAAAATTACTAGTGCTCGCCGGCAGCGGTGAGGGCTGGACCATTTCCTCAGTCTCATCTGCTTCAGTGATTTCCGCAAAGGTGATTGGCTGGGTGCGGAAACGGGAGAGTTTACTGCGGGCTCGTCGAAGTCGCGCCTGTCGCATAAAGCGTTGCCCGGTCTCCGCGGTCTTGGTGGCGGTTGGTGTGTCGGTTGTGGTTGCCTGTTTGTCGCTCGGTGGCTTATCTGGGCTAAGCGCTTCGGCCGCAAGCTCCCTATGCAGCTTGTCAATATCGAGAATGCCGTCCTGGCGAAGAGTCACGCGGGGAAAAATTTCCAACTCGCCAGGCGGCGGCGCAAATTGAACAGGGTTCATCAGATCAACTGGACGGGTGCGAAAGCCCTCGATGCTCATTTCTGGAAAAAAAAACATGGATTAAGCTTAATTAGCGTGGTATTCATTGGCAAGAATAAGCTTCAACTGTGGGCAACGTTTGATAACGAGTCGCTGTCTCGCGTATGCCACGAAATTTCGGACGTGATGATATAGCACTTTAAATACTTTTCAACAAAGACGTTTAACATAACGATAATATTACGATGCAAGCTCAAAGCTGTCCACTAAACGCAAGCCCCCCTTCCCGAAAATCCAGTGAATGGTGTAGTTTAATAGAATAAGCGACAGGATACAGCCCAGTCGTACGCCAGACCGAATTGTGAACTGTTCTTAAAGGTTGTTATGGACTAGGACAAGTGCATTATTGCTTTGGTCATTTCCATGGTGTTTAGTGTTACACTATCTGGAGCGATTATCCGTCATAAGGGTCAGGATGGATGAAATCGAACGCAGCGGAAAAGGAAACGGCAAATCAACCGAAGTGAAAAATCTTCTACAATTAACGACCGGTGTCATGCAAGTTCAACATAATTATTTTGATGTACGTTTCAGAGTGAG